AAGGAAGAAAGAAAGAAAGAAAGAAAGAAAGAAAGAAAGAAAGAAAGAAAGAAAGAAAGAAAGAAAGAAAGAAAGAAAGAAAGAAAGAAAGAAAAAAATCTGACAAAACATTGATGGGAGACTCCAGATAAGAATGCCAGGAAGAAGAGCCAGGCGGTGGTGGCATATGCCTTTGATCTCAGCACTCAGGAGGCAGAGGCAGGCAGATCTCTTGTGAGTTTGAGGCCAGCCTGGACTATAAAGCGAGTTCCAGGAAAGGCACGAAGCTACACAGAGAGAAACCCTGTCTCGAAAAACCAAAAAGAAAGAAAGAAAAGAAAGAAAAAAAAAAAACCCAGAAAAGTATTTGACAATAAGCACCATTATTTTGGGAATAAAAATCCTAAAAATTTCTAGGTTTGGGGCTGGAGAGATGGCTCAGAGGTTAAGAGCACTGGCCGCTCTTCCAGAGGTCCCACGTTCAATTCCTACCACCCACATGGTGGCTCACAACCATCTGTAATGAGATCTTGTGCCCTCTTCTGGTATGCAGACATAATGCAGGCAAAATGCTGTATACATAATAAATAAATAAATCTTTAAAAAAAATTTCTAGGTTTAGATATGTTTCCTTATTTCGAAGCCATATATGAAAAGTCCACTGCTAAGGTTATAGCAAATAGAGGGCAATTGAAAGATTTTTCTTTAAAATCAATAATAATTATAGAGCCTTCACCTAGTAACTGGTGGAAGCAGATGCAGTTACACAGCCAAGCACCAGGCCAAGCTCCAGGAGTCCAGTCAAAGAGAGAGAAGAAGGATTCTTTGAGCAAGGGGCATCAAGGTCTAGATGGGGAAACCTACAGAGACAACCAAACCAAGATAGTGGAAACTCATAAACTTTAGACCAACAGCTGTGGAGCCTCCATAGGACTGGACTAGTCCTCTGCATAAGGGAGACAGTTATGTAGCTTGATTTGCTTAAGGGGTCCCCTGGGAGTAGGATCAGGATCCTTCCCTGGTGCATGAGCTGGCTTTTTGGAGCCCAGTACTTATGGTGGGACATCTTGCACAGCCTTGATGCAGGGGGAGGGGATTGGACCTGCCTCAACTGAATGTACCTGGATCTGATGACTTCCCATGGGAGGTCTTACCTTTTCAGAGGAGGGAATGGGGGGTGGGTTAGGGGAGAATGCTGGGGGGTGGGATAAGGGAAGAGAGGGGGATATGTGGTTGCTATGTAAAATGAATAAAAATTTCTTAATAAAAAGTAAAGAAAGAAATATAACACCAAAACAAATCATGCATACTTGATTTGTATACTTGTTGTCATTTCTATTAAACACAGCAGAGGCAAGGGAAGACCCAGCAATATAAGAAGACTGGAAACATAAATAAATAGATCGATATAGATAAATAAACAAACAAATAAATAAATAAAGGTGTGCAAACAAAAATTGTTTTACAGGTAAAATAAAAGCCAATAAGCTCAGTAAAGATGCAAGATGTAATATCCAGTATAGAAAAGTCACAAATAGTGAGAAACCCGAAAATGTAATTAGGAAGCAGTGCCTGGTGATGTAGGCCTCTAAAATCAGCTTCTTGGTAGGCTGATGCCAGAAGATGGTAAGTTCAAGGCTATTGTTTGTGGCTCTGTAGAAAAAGTGTTACATTTGAAAAACAAGGAAAGGAATGGCCCAGGGGGTAAGAGCATCATCATCTGTTCTCACAGACCCCATGCTCCAGTCCTAGCCCTCACATGGCTCCTTACAGCCACTTGTAACTCCAGTTCCAGTGAATCTGTCATGCCCTTCTGGCCTCTGTGGGCACTGCAAGTACATGGTGCAGAAGTACACAAGCAGGAAGACAAAAGAACAATTATATTAATGAAACCATTAAAACCAAGAATAAATGAATGATTAGGAAAATTTATTATCTGCACACAAAAACTATAAAAATATTGAAAGAAATTAAATTGGTACAATTATATATAATGATACCGGAGGTAAATTATTATCTGCACACAAAAACTATAAAAATATTGAAAGAAATTAAATTGGTACAATTATATATAATGATACCGGAGGTAATGAATTTGAATATTGTTAAAATGTCTATACTAGGGGCTAAACAGTTGGTTTATGGGTTTAGAGCACTGGTTCCAATTTTAGAGGACCTTGGTTCATTTCTCAGCACCCACAAGGTGAGTCACAACTGTCTGTAAATCATTTCTGACACCATTTTCTGGCATCTATGAGCATCAGACATTCAAGTGGTACACAGACCTATATCCAGATAAGACATCAATACACATAACATTAAATCAAAATAATCAATAAAATGCCATACTAGCTAGGGCTGGAGAATGGGCTCAGTGGTTAAGAGTGCTTATTGCTCCTGCAGAAGATCCTACTTCAGTTCCGGTAACCCAATGAAGTAGATCACAGCTGCCTGTAACTCCAGCTTCAGAGAATCCAGCAGCTCTGACCATTCAACTCATCCTTTCAGATGTGCATACATACACACAGGCAGACCCACAAACACACAACTCAAACAATGAAACTTTGTTTGCTTGTTTTTGTGTTTTTCTTTTTTCTTAGTGTTTGGTTTTTTTACCCTAGATTTCAGGGCTACCCAGTCTCTGGTTCTCGGTCACCAGGGCAGTGTCAGGCATGGGTTCCTTCCGGTGGAGAGGGCCTTAAGTCAGATCAGACCCTGGCTGGCTACTGCCACAAGTTCCGTGCCACCATTGCCCCAGCATATTTTACAGGCAGGACAGCTGTAGGTAAAGGCTTTGTGACCTGGTTGGTGTTTACATTGCATTTGGTAGCCTGCAGAGTACCTTCCTGTACCAGAGACTAGAATGTAGGGGTGAAGGCTCCATGTAGGCACCAGCTCAACTTCTTCATGTTCAATGAACTCTGTGAGTGTTTTCCTAGGCAATGAGATTCCACTTCCAGTTTCTAGAGGGCAACCTTATGTCTTAGCAACAGCCTGGGTTGTTTGGAGATTTCCATGTGACCCCGTTGGCCTAGATATCAACTGAATACACCCCAGTTCTACCAATGGAAGCCTTCTTTGGTAACAAGACATTGCCTATTGAGACTCCACATCGCCCATTATTAGGAGACCTCAGTAGATCGATCGCCTTAATGTATTTTAGGCGGTCTCCATTGCACTAGGTTTCTATATCCTCCCTTAAAGGCCCTCAATTTCAGCCAAATAAATCATATTTTAAAGAGTCAACAAGGAATGATAACTAGGTTTGGTCAGTTCAAACAATCTGGCTGCAGACAGCTTGTTTCTTTTGTGATTGGAGTCTGTGATGGCTAAGGAAAACTCCATTTTGTACTAGACACCCAGTCTAAATTCCTCAAAGACAAGCTCCTGGCAACTCTCACTCCTTGCTACACTTCCGGTAATTGTAAAAGTGCTATGAGATGATTAAGCGTTTCCTCTGGCTTTTGTGAACCTGTTTACTGCTGTGTAGCAGGGACAGAGCTCAACACACCTGAGGGGAGTTCAAACAGTTTCTCACTCAGCTGCACATTCCACACAAATGGGATAGTTGTGTTGCCCACCATAGAAACCCCTCCTTCAACCTCTTCTGTAGATGCAATTCTAAACAGTCTTATATAATAAGAAACACAGCCGGGCGGTGGTGGCGCACGCCTTTAATCCCAGCACTCGGGAGGCAGAGCCAGGCGGATCTCTGTGAGTTCGAGGCCAGCCTGGACTACCAAGTGAGTTCCAGGAAAGGCGCAAAGCTACACAGAGAAACCCTGTCTCAAAAACCAAAAAAAAAAAAAAAAAAAAAAAAAGAAAGAAACACAGAACCAAATAAAGAGTTAAAAGCCCAAGAGGTCAGAGCACTAGTGAATAGCCTTTAGCTTACCAGTCGCTGCGGTCATTCCCCACAGAAAGAGACCTACTTCCTGTGTGTCTGTGTTTTTATTGACTTTCTGTTCTGCCTTCTCATTGCTTCTAAACACAACCACATTACTTCTTCATCACTGTCCATCTATACAGACCTCCAGGCCTCTATGGTTGGTCCTTGGATTAATGGCATGTGTCACCAAGCTGGCTGTGTCCTTGAACACACAGACTCTGCCTGCCATGTGATCGGATTAAGGGTGTGTGCTACCACTGCCAGACTTATGCTAAATGACTTGCTATTAGCTCTGACCCCCAGGCAACTTTATTTGTTAACATACAAATAAAATCACATTTCAGGGGTTGGGGATTTAGTTCAGTTGTACAGCGCTTGCCTAGCAAGCACAAGGCCCTAGGTTCGATCCTCAGCTCAAAAAAAAAAAAAAAAAAAAAAAAAAAAATCACATTTCAGCACAAATAAAATACCTCTTCTGTATGACAAGCCTTTGATTTATCTTTAAGGCTGTTGTTGGCCTACTAGCACTAATCAATAAACTCATTTAGGGGTTGGGGATTTAGCTCAGTGGTAGTAGCGCTTGCCTGGGATTGGTCTTCAGCTCTGAGAAAAAAAATTAATTAATTACATTAAATTAAAAAAACTCATTTAATTATAATTTAAGTTGAGTCTGTGGTCTTTTCCTGGTGAATAAGTTAACTGTAACAAGTTAACTGTGTTTCTTTAAGGTTTATGAAACTTCAGAGTACAATGTCATATGGGAAACAGTTCTTTTACAAATAGGCTGGGCAAATAAATTGCCCCAGGCTTACACAGAGCAACTTAATGAGTACTCCCTCCCTGTGGCAAATTGTATACTGGTAAACCCAAATATGTGCATTTTAATATCCCATAACATATGACGGTAAAGAGAGTCAATGACTAAATTCAGAAGAGAGATGTCCACAACTGAAGAGCAGGAGAGAGCAAAGGGAAAGAGGATGGGCTCATGACAATCCTCAAAGTCAACCCGGACACAGAAGGCCTGGCCTGTGTCCTCTGGTGTCTACATTAGCTTGGGTGAAGCTGGGATTCCCTGCTCCCTGTCCTTTCATGGCTCTCAAGATCTTCCTAACAGCAGTCATCTTTCAGTCTTTCACACCATTAAAATCAATCAGGAGCGTGCACTGTTCTGTGAAAGGGACAAAAGTCCTGTAATCCCAATGTCTGGGGAGGGTGACACGGGCCAGTTACATGATGTTACCCTCGGCTATATAAGGGTATCCTGTCCCTACCCCACTAACTTCACCCAATAAGCTGCACCTTCTGTATATATTCTTTTCTTCTTCAGACATGGTCTTATTAGGTCCCCCAGCAGGTCTTGGACTTAGGATCTTCCTGCATCAGCTTTCTTTGTAGCTGGAATTACTAGTCTGGACTGAATTTCATCTGGGCATGGCAGACAAGGACCAAGGGAAAGGCAGGCAAATGTAATGACTTCTGAGTAACATTAGCAATTCTGTACAGGCCTGAGGCTGTTTCATAGGACAAGTAAATGTATAAGAGGCTGCAGCAAGATTGGGACTTCCAATCACAGAGACAGTAGAAAAGGGAACCAACCCTTAGAATCATGGGTAATTCACCATTGCACAGAGAGACCTTAAACTCGGTTTTCAAACACCATTCTGGCTTTATTCCTTCATTGAGGGGAGAGGGGGAGACACAGAATGACAGCAGTGTCTCTCTTGCAACAGGGGATTCTTTTTTTATTTTGTTGATTTATTTCCTTTTTAAAAAATAATTTATTCAACTTTATCTTATGTGCATTGGTGTGAGGGTGTCAGATGCCCTGGAACTGGAGTTACAGAGAGTTGTGAGCTGCCATGTGGGTGCTGGGAATTGAACCTGGGTCCTCTGGAAGAGCTGCCAGTGCTCTTAACCTCTGAGCCATTTCTCCAGCCCTATTTGTTTCTTTTTTTTTGGGGGGGGGGAGGGGTGTAGCTTTGCGCCTTTCCTGGGACTCACTCTGTAACCTCACAGAGATCCGCCTGCCCCTGCTTCCCCAGTGCTGGGATTAAAGGCGTGAGCCACCACCACCCGGCCTTATTTGTTTCTTAATAAGAAATTTTCTATTCATTTTACATTCCAACCACAGATCCCCTCCTCCTCCTCTCTCTTCCTGCCTCCCAGCATCCCCCACTAACCCACCTCCCATTGCCCACTTCCCCCAAGTTATGGTCTCCCAGGAGGAGTCAGCAGAGCCTGGTACATTCAGCTGAGGCAGGTCGAAGCCCCTCCCCCTTCATCAAAGCTGCACAAAGTGTCACACCTTAGACACTGGACTCCAAAAAGCCAGCTCATGCACCAGGGACAGATCCGGATCACCCTGCCTGTGGACCCCCCAAACAGTTCAAGGTAAACAACCGTCTCGAGTATCCAGAGGGCCTAGTCCACTCCCATGGAGGCTCTACAGCGATTGGTGTACAGTTCGTGGGCCTCTGTTGTTTTTCCATCATGATCTCAACGCTCCTTCCTTAGAGAATCCCTCTTCTCTCATCGATGCAACAAGAGGTTTTGGAGCAGCCCAAAATTAAACACGAGGAAAGAAGAGAGTGAACTCCACCTGGAGAAATACCTGGACCTCTCTGGCTCTTGAAACCTGTCTTTCTAAAGCCTCTCCTCCATCAGTCTCCTCAACGCCCTGAGCCCTCAGCAGGAAGCCGCAGGCCCTCTTTCCCCCGCCCCGTCTCAGTTTCAAATTAAACTCACCAAAACGAAGGGTGTTTTCTTTTCAATTCCTCCAAACGCTGCCCTGTAAATTGCTCTCACACCTTCAGACACCAACCAAGAGATCCTGAATCTGTGGACGGGAGCGAATGGAGACCAGAATAAACGCCCGGAGGATTCAGTCTCTACGTCTGATCTCTGGTGAACCAGGAGAGAAATAAAGTTAAGACTTGAGGAACTGAGAAAGAGAAACTACAGAGCTACCAACCAATGGGATGCCACCACATCGGTGTATGCGGTTCAACCACCAGAGGGCGACAGTCGCCTTGAGTCAGCACTGCCTTCCAGGAGGTTAGGACATTTTTTCAGTGCTAAAGGAACTTATGTCACTTGGTCAGGCTCATGTCACAATCACCCCTAAGATCCCGACCCTCAGGAAAGCTGCCCCTGATGAAAGAAAGCCTTCTCCATGGGCTCCTCCTACACCTGAGCTCTAGGCTTTGTTTTCCTTTGTGTGGCAGATGTGGCCCAAAGGGAAGGAAATCCAAGGTGAGGGACAGAATGAAATGTTCCTCTGGAGTTGGACTTGTACACTAATGGGATGAGAACAGAAAGGAAGCTGCAGTTCAGGGCAGCTGCTGCACAATCAAGATATCCTACCCAGCAGGGACAGCATGGGGAGGATTCCTGTGCAGAGCCATGCAGAAACACTTCCCCACACTCACAGCAGGTAAACTAGCAAGCTGCAG